TGAACAACACCTTACTAGAGTCGATGAATTCTACCCAAAAGTCCTTGAGAGAAAGAATAGACATATTCCGGAGATTTTCAAGGCATTAGCAATGTTCTTAAATTTTAGTGGGGCAATGCTATCCTAAATGCTACCAATCTTAGCCATTGAATGCCTAGCAGAACCTCATCCTTCAAGACCCCTCTCTAAGTTCTCCACACCAATTATCCCACATTTTAACTTGAGAACAAACTTCCTTTAAAAGTTTTTGAGTGCGTTGTATATGTTCACATTCATCACAATGGAAAACTTAATCCTAAAGCTGTCAAATGTGTTCCTTGGTTATTCTGCATCTCAAAAGGTTACAAGTGTTATATGACCCTGTTAAAAAGAGCGTGTTAGTTGTGATGTCACATTTAATGATGAAACCCATTTTACCCTCAGTCTTCAATTTGAGGGAGAGTTGGAGTGAATTTCAACCCATGGAAGAAAGACCTTTACCTAATTCCTCACTACCCTTGACTGCCAAGTCTAAGAGTAGTATCAATCCTAAGAGTAGCACCATGGTAGAAAATATTCCCATCCCAGAAATTGAAGTGAATCCTAACACAAGAGGAGACACCAATGCAAATAACACAAATGGGAAGGACTTGACTCTCTAAGTACAGATGAAGAAACCAAGTAGTAAACCAATGCTAGATCTTGACCCACAAAGTGAAGATAATTCAAAAAAAGAAGAGCAAGGTAATCCTGATGATTCCAAACCGATAACTGAAGTTGATAATCTTGATCTTCCCATTGCTCTTTATATCCTATAGATAAATTTGCATCTTACAAAACCCTTTCACCTCAATGTTATGCTTTCACCATTGATCTTGATAGAATAAAGATGCTGTATGATATCGAGGCTCTTACAATTCCTAAGTTGAGAAAAGCTATTTGAAAAAGATGGAAGACCTAAAAAAGAATGGCATATGGGAAGAAGTAGATCTTCCTCAAGGAAAGAAACTCATGGTAAAATATAACTTGGATAATACCAATACAAGGCAAGATTAGTACCATGCAACAAGCTCCCCCATACTAGAGACGCAACAAATACCAAGTCCTTGCTGAAACTAAAGCTGCCAACATCATCTTCACATAATTCCCTGCCATATCCTATGCTCTGATAACAGTAAGAAGAGGAAGCATATGAGTGGGCTCAACAACACATCTTAACCCAAAACCTTAATGCTCAATGTTGAGTCCTTTCACTAATATATATATATATATATAACTCAATTCTGTTTGATGTGGAACTTCCCACATCAAGTCAAGTCCACTTGACATATCCTAACAAATCTTGGTTGTCTTTAGCAGCCAATCTAGATTGGCCTCTTTATTAGCTTGATGTTAAGAATGTCTCCCGAAATGATAGTTAAAAGGAAGAAGTATAAATGACATTTCCTCCTAGTTTTAACAACAGAAGGAGAACCTAGGTCTATAGGATGAAAAATTATCTTCTTTGATGCAAAGACACATAAGAAATAAGCCACTTAATTAGTGACCTTCCAATCTCAATTTATATAAATTAAGGAAATGATCTTGGAAACATGAAAGAAGACCTCCAATGGAAAATAAAGACTATGTTATCGTAGTATATGCCATGGCATTAAACCTTCCTAAAAAACCTAGGCACTGCAGATCAATGATGCTACCATAGGGGCACTGCAGTCAATTCATGTCTTTGTAAACTGTCCTTTCACCCCCAAAACCATTCATATCAATAAAAGAGGCTGAATATAGTGCAAAATCATATATTTGAGATCTAAGATTGTATGATGTGTTCAATCAATGCCAAAGGATTATACAAGTGTCAAGCAAGCAAGTCTATTGATTTATACATAACTAGCATTTACAACTATCTTTGATAAGCGATGCATCTGCGAAGCTTATAATCAACCTTGTGGCATAGAAGTAGGTACTGTCCCGGTAACTGGTGCAACAGGGCCTGCATCCACCTTCACAGGACTTTGATTTGAAGGCAGAGTTGTGATTCCAGAACGACTCAATGCAGAACAGGCTTCCCTGAAACTTTCAGATATTAAAACAAGAAAATGGGAATTTTTTGTATCAACAGGTGGACCTGCTGCACAGCTGTTTCGCTTCCCCTACATTGCCAAAGGGATGTAGTCAACACCTTGAAGAGCTCAAGAGCTAATTTCAGTTGCATGCTAAATTTAAAAATAAATATTAAAAGGAGGGAAAATAGCAAATAGATTACTAAATACGCTCTACTTTTGCTCTACAAATATGAGCATCCACTTTGCTAAGTTATCAGATCATGCTTGTGGTATGAGTGGTTCATATTAGACAAAGTATCTGATATCTCGTCCTTTGAAAATAAAATACATAATTCTTTTGTGAAAAGAGTCATAACCCATCCTTACCGCATTGTAAATGACTTTAATTTTGGGGAGCTTCTTTGGACAGATAACAGATAGAGAAACAGAACACTGCATGCAAAAGATTACATTCCAGAGATAAGGGAACAATGAAAGAGACAGAAACCAATTTTTTTTTTTAAAAAAAAGGAATACCTGAGGAAATGCTTTAGCAACAGCTTCAGCATCATGTAGACGATTCCCTGTATCTAATTCTATGGTTTCACCTTGATCTAAATTCTGCAGTGTGGTACATAAACTGGTGTCGGCAAAGGGTAGGGATTACTTGCTGCAACAAGAATGCAGTGCTTTTGCAAGTCCACGTTCTGTTGACTTTGCCTTCCATTTTGAGAAGTGGGGAACATCTGAGAATTCGAACATTTTATCATGAATAAGATTCCAAGTTTTCAAAAAGAAACCCTTGACAATTTTAAATAATGCATTTCAATATATTAATTATTATAGAAGACTTGTGTGCAAGACTACAAAGTGAAAAGCAACCCTAACAATTAAATCTAGGTACTCTTTACATGCAGTAAAGGTCATCCAAAACAGGTGTATGTTGTTGGTTAAATGAATAGCAACACACAGAGCTGCATCCACCAAATACATAATAGGACTAGTTTTAGCACAAATTCCAATATGAAGTAGTTTCAAGACATTATTGAATATCAAATATTTAGGTTACTTGATAATTAATTCACAAGTGATTTGAGATTTGACAGATGATGAGGAATGAGATATTTCCTAGTCTTTTGCTTGACCAATAAGAAGATAGGTCCTAACTAATCACTGAGGAAGATGAAGAACCGAGTAGAGCTCAAACTCTAATCTTCTGTTCTCTCTTGTTCTTTGTTTTGGTGGGTCTGTGATTGGAGCAGATGAAAAAATGCTAAGACACAACCACTATAGAGCAGCTCTTTAACTTCATCAAAGGAGGGATTGATAATTTGAGAACAAAGTTTCCCTAGCCCAACTAAATCCAATCCATTTTATTTCCATGGATGTGCAAGCATACATGAAAAGATAAAATCCAAAATGAATATATACAAAAAAAAGTGAGCGTGACATCTATTGAGGGGAAAATGGGAGAAAATCATTTAAGCGTGGAAGGCACCAATAAGGAGAATGGAACGGATAATCTTGAATGCTGTAAAGAGAAGAAAAGCAAAATAAAAAAGAACACTTATGGAAATTATTGAATAAAATCTCTTAGTTAACATTATTCCCAAGAGCTTGGTTGATGATAGAGCACAACGGCATCATGCAATCCATCTAACCGACCCCATCTAGTGGGATGAGGCTTGTTGTTGTTGTTGTTGTTGTTGTTGTTCAGTCAATCCAGGTTGACCATGAATTTTGGCCATGGAAAAGGAGCCCAAGAACGAAATTGGACTTGTTTCTAAGGCCCATCTGGCCCATACATACCCTCCATTCAACAGCACTTTTTGCTCAATTCCTATCTTTTCTCCTGAACTTTTGCTCTCTCTATAGTTCTCATCACCATAAAATTTGCTACCAATCAGCAAGCCTTTTTGAAAGATTCAAAAAGTTAATTTTATTACTTTCAAGTTTTATAGCTTTCCAACATCCCATGCTTTATAATTGTCATCTTGTCTGTTAGACATGCTTCTGCGTTTTCTCCAAAAATCTAAAGTCTTTTAGTTGTCTCACAGATTCAAGGTTTTGATGTCAAATTAAACAGTTGAATCCACCTCAATCAGAATTAGAAACCATAATTTAGTTTTCAAATGTAGTGCAAGTTTTATAGAGCCAAACTCCTAAGAAAAATTTGCTACAGAGCTATTGAAGCAATAAAACATTTCAAGAATTGTGCCAGAAACAAATGTAACAGTTAAAGCATTAAACTCAAGGACTGCAGCCACTAGTAATTAAGTGTTTTGAATGAGAAATTGAGAGCCTATAGCTTAAATAACAAGTTCAGCTAGCATGCATGCATCAACTTTATCAAGCATAAATGTTAGTTTTATCAAGAGACTAGAAAGCTTGCTTGTCAGGATTTCTCTTAATTTGGTATGCTTTTAAGACTCTTCTAGCATTTGCTGGTTTAAGGATGCCAGGTCATCCAACAAGTTATACCTTCTCTTCCTACAATACCTTCTTATTTCATCAACAATAAATAAATTATCCGATCTCTTTCCTCCTAACACCAAGTCCTAGCAGCCTTAAACTCTGCAACCTCAAGAAGTTATTCACTTTATTCAGACCCAGGAAACCAAAAGAATGACTGGAAAGTGGTAAGACATGCAAAAGCCCAATCCCCTTCAAAATATCTTTCAAAAAGAAAAAACACACACACACACATGCAGGCATGTAAGCGTGTATGCACAAGCTGAAGTTTTACACAGTGCCCCTATATCAATCCCCACATTGAATCTGGCCTCGTCCAAGATCCTCCAAATGTCAATACACGTTTCTCCCTTACGTTAGAATACTCCATTCAAAGTAAGCAAATTTGGAATGCTGGCATTAAGAAATGGGAGAGCTTTATGGAGATGGAAATACTCTTAAAGTCAACTGAAACTTGAAAGGAGAACAGGACTCATAAAAAAGAAAGAGGAAACTAACGTATTATACCATGATAGCTTCAGAGAGCCCTTCTGCAATTGCAGCATCATCAAAACCACCGCCAACAAAGGACAGAGCTGAAAGCCATTTCCAGAATGTATCAGGGTCACTTGTCCAGCCAGTCCGTTGCGCAACAATACCTGCATTCAACGATGCCAAATCAAGTAAATATACTCCATATATTAGTCAATTGCATACAGATTTTCTGGCGTAAGAGAGCAGAATTCAGACTTCACAATATTCAAGAGATTATATTCTTGAAAATTAGTAAGTAGCGAAATTTTGTCCAATTCCATGCTCTACTTCAAAACTAACAGACAATTGTTAATATATTCTATATTTAAAATTATACTCAACTCATCAAAAGAAATCACACTCATCTTCTAATTCCCTTGTCAAAGAAATCATTTTAAAGTGCAAGGGATGGGTAACAAAGGAATACTTGAAGAGAAATAGTAAGTGGTAGAATCATAGAACAATATGTTTACACCTGCACTTTAAAGAAATGACTCACTTTACCAAAAAAAAAAAGAAAGAAAAAAGAATAGACTCACAATCATGCATCAACATCTGAAGTCCTAATAATTCAACAGTAATGCAGTCTAAACAAGAGAAGATTTTAATAACACCATTAAAAGATTATGCAAGACTGTACCAGAATAACATCCACGAGTACTAAAGGTAACTAATGCAAACTCAACATTGGAAGTCGAAGGCTTCTGCATAAAAAAGGGAAAGGAGAAGTTAATAGACAAGCAAACCAAAATACATCTATTGTCAAGCTAGAAAAAATATCACATGTACTAAGATAGTAAAAGCTAGAAACTAATGTACTCTACTTCACAAATTATTGAGGGCCTAGGCTTTTCCACACTTCTCATGCTAATAGCATTTAAGGGACTTCATCTAATAGCTTAAACCTTCAGGATGGATTAGTCTTCCTATGCAGCAACCAGAGCAAATTTCCTTAATACTTCTTTCTTTTTTTTCTTTATAGCTACTTTCTTTCTTTTTTAAGAAAAAGAAAATCAGTATCAGAGGTACAAGAGAAGATATAGCATTAGCGGCCAGAAGATATCAAGAAAAAATTAGAGAGAGAAGGGCAGGGGTGGGGGTCGGGGAGGAAACTCCACTACATAGAAAAGCTGTTTCAGTCTCTGTGCAAATAAAAAATTATAATTCATTTGAAACACAAACACTCATTCACAGAGCACCAAAACAAGGCTGTAAACAAAACTTTATCCCACAACAGTAGTAAGGGCAAGGAGATATCCTTGAAGATATGAGCAGCCCTTGCCTATAATAGTAGTAATTTCAACCAAAAACACATTAAAATCTTGCAAGCTTCCAACACCTAATAAATCCTTTGGATCGGTTACACAACTTTCCTCTGCCCAAGCAATTGAATCAAAGTAAGCCAACAACGGCTTCAAGCTAGAGTTTAGGACTTACAAACAGCATAAAATAAGATCACATAAAAAATATTTAAGCAGTTGATTAGTTGAAACTATCCAATAGATTATCAAGACCAAATCATGCATATCTCCAATGCATCACTGACCAGTGCTGAAGCCTTGTTAGTTTAGTAGAGCTTTAGCATCAAGCAAAAATAACAATTATAAAATTGGCAATGAAAGAATCTACTGGCCAGTGCATAAAATCAGGAAGAACCAACAACATAATAAACAAATATTTATTCCTCAATGCCAATGAGAGGACAGGATTTTACTTTGCCGTCCGTGAATAAAAGTATAACAGATTAAATAAAAGAGCTAATAAAAAGTGAGCAAGTCACATGAGACACTAATACAGTCCTCTCATCTTTTCCCTAGATAGTATTATCTTCATTTGAGTGAAATCATGCATACCTGCCCAGTTGTGTCATTTCCACCCAAAGACCTGCATGAATACCATAAGGTGTTAAAAATAGTTGCTAACAAACTGTAAAGTGAGGTAGTTATGGAGAGTTAAGTTATTCATCTAATCTAAGACGGGAAGGACTTAACATATAAGGACTGTTAGATGTAGGTTTACCTTACTGCACATGTAAAAGGAATCAACTGATAATTATCACTAGGCACTAGATAGAACAACTGGGGGTGGTGAAGGGTGAAATTAACAACTATCTTCAATATATTTCTGGATAATGGTTGTTCCCACTAAAGCATGCCTTTAAACAATAGTAATCTCAATTTGCAGAGCTTCATTTTACCATTAAATATTGTTAATCTACAATAACAAGTATTGATGATTTTAAAATGATACATGTAATATAGTCTATTAAGTGATATTGTTAGCATGTAAGAAGTATATCCCTTTAAGCCTCCATCATGTGTTCTTGAGATTTTACTAATTTTAATGGAATTTGACAAATTTGGTGAAAAACTACCCCTTTATTATTTTCACTACTATCATTTATAGAATGCTATTTATAAGAGTACATCAACACAAAGTAATAAATGTTATCTTAACCTCTAACTACCAACTACCAACTAATCTATCCATTAAAGAAATAAAATAAATTTACATTATTTAACTACACATTTTAACACTCCCCCTCGAGTTGGAGAGTGGATGTCATCCATTCCCAGCTTGGATGCTAAAATATGAATATGTTCACTTGACGATCCTTTTGTGAATATATCTACCAATTGATCACCAGAGGGTATGTAGGGAGTACAGATTAGACCACTTTCCAACTTCTCTTTGATAAAGTGTCGATCAATTTTAACATGCTTGGTCCTATCATGTTGTACAGGATTATGAGCAATGTTGATAACTAACTTGTCACAATAAAGTCTCATTGGACCTTCCCATTTGATTCTCAAAAATAAAATTATCTTCACCCACAACAACTCACAAATTCCAAGTGCTACAGCTCTAATCTCAACTTCAGCACTAGATCTAGATACTACATCCTATTTCTTACTCCTCCAAGTAATGAGATTTCAGCCAAGAAATGTCAATATCCTAATGTAGACCTTCTAGAATCCATATCCTCTCCATGATCTACATCTTTGTATGTCTCAAGAGTCAATTTTTCCCCCTCTTAAACAAAATGCCTTTTCCCGAAATACCCTTCAAATACTCAAGTATGTGATAAATCGCTTGTAGATAAGATTCTTTAGGATCATGCATAAATTGGCTTACCACGCTCACAATGTAGGCAATGTCTGGCCTAGTGTGAGCTAGATAAATTAATTTCCCAACAAGTCTTTGATAGGATTCATTATTGACAGAAGGCACTGGACGAGGAGGTTTGCTAGGCTTATGACTTTTCTTCGGTTTGCTAGGACGTCTTCCTTACAAAATCTGTGATTCTGTTCAATTGGAGTGTCCATAGTTTGCACCCCATTTTTCTTGTTTCAATGAGAAGGTCAAGAATATATTTATGTTGGGATATGAAGATGCCATGCTTAGAACGTGCCACTTCAATGTCCAAGAAATATTTCAACCTTCCTAAATCTTTTCATTTGAAATTCTTTCATCAATTGACTTCGCAAAGACTGAATCCCTTCCAAATCACTCCCTATTACTATGACATCATCAATATAAACAAGTAAAATTGTTACTCCCCCTGAAGATGAATGTTTGATGAACAAAGTGTAATCATCTTGACTCTGTTTGAATCCTATGCCAACCATGGCCTTTGAAAACCTACCAAACCATGCCCTGGGTAATTGTTTCAAGCTGTACAAAGCCTTTTTTAGCTTGCAAACAATACCATGAGGAAGATGAGAACTAAAATCAGAAGGAATCTCCATATAAATCTCTTCCTTTAAGTCACCATGTAAGAATGCATTCTTCACATCAAACTCCAGCAAGTCCCAGTCATAGAGAGCTGCAAAAGATAATAAAATATGGAAAATATTTATTTTCACAACAGGGGCCAAAGTTTCTTTATAGTCAACCCCATATGTCTGAGTATATCCTTTGGCAACAAGCTAAGCCTTGTATTTGTCTAAAGAACCATCAGAATTGTATTTGAGAGTGAAGACCCACTTACACCCAACAAGCTTCTTTCCCTTCAGTAACGAAACAAGATCCCATGTATTGTTGTTCTTAAGTGCGTCCATCTCAACCTTCATTGCCTTAACCCAATTATCATCTACTAATGCCTCAGATACAGACTGTGGTATTGAGATGGGATGAAAACTAGTCAATAAATCTTTATGATTGCAAGACAATTTCTCATAGGAAAGAAACAAAGATATTGGTTATAAGAATTTTTCGATACAACTGCGAGCCCTTTTCTCAGAGCAATAGGTAGATTCGAATCAAGCTGTTCTGAATTATTTTCAGATACATCCTGATAATCAAAAACATCATGAGAACTTGAAGGAATTTCAGTGTTTTTAGGAAGATTAGGAGTTACCTCACAATTTTCATGCACGGGTTCAGAAGTTTGAGTAGGAGTCGCTTTAGATGATTGGATTTGTGTAAGTTGAGATATTCTCTTCTTTCAAGTGAAAACCTGTAGTGGACGAGTAGATTTAGAAGTTGATGGTGCATCCAAGGTCTCACTAGGTAAGGAACTAAGAAGTTTGTTGACAAGGAGATCATGAACCTAGTCCTCACTAAAAGGGCTCTCTCTTTCAAGAGGGGTATTGAAATAAGAATTAGATTTGAAAAAAGTGACATGATGATAACACTAAGACCCTCTTTTGAGTAGAGGAATACCTAACAAGCACACATTTAAGAGCTCTAGGGTCAAGTTTAGTCCTTTGTTAAGAATGCACATGAACCAAGACCACACATCCGAATATTCTAGGTATAAGTCCACTTGATGCATTAAAATTAGGGCAAAATTGGGTAAGAACATCAATAGGACTTTTTGAACCAAGGACCGGGGTTAGAAGTCTGTTAATCAGGTGTGTAATAGTTAAAACAGCTTCTCCCCAATATTACTTAGGCACATTAGTTTGAAACAATAAGGCTTTAGCAACATTAAGAAGATGACTATTTTTCCTCTCAACCACCCCATTTTGTTGGAAAATATTAACACGGGATAATCCATGTAGAATTCCATGTGCATCAAAAAAATATGGACAATGATTGATTAAAAAAATCTTTTGCATTGTCAGACCTAAACCTTTGTATCCCAACTCTAAATTGAGTTTTAATCATGTTATAAAAAGTGGGAAAAATAGTACCAACATCATATTTTTGTTTTAGCAAATAAATCCATGTTATACGAGTGCAATCATTGATAAAGAACACAAACCATCCAGACCCGATAACATTAGGCACACTAGATGGATCCCAAATATCACTATGAATTAGGCTAAAAGGAATAGAAGTTCTTTTATTACTCATAGGATATGAAGATCTTTTATGTTTTGCAAACTCACAAACATCATAATAAAAGGACTCAACAGGTACATCTTTAAACCAAGAAGGAAACATAGTTTTCAAAACATTAAACGAAGGGTGACCCAAACGACAATGATAAAGCCAAATATGATCTTTTCTAGACCCGACTTTTTTTGATTAAGAAAAGGAGGAAGCCATCAAGCTTTGAATCCTACTACATTCACTTGGCTCATCAAAAAAATAAAATCCATCTCTTTCTTCAGCAAGTCCGATCATCTGATTCGTCTCTTGATCCTGAAAAAGATAAGAGAGAGAAAAGAATAAAACATAATAATCAGAATCAATAGCAAGTTTTTTCACAGAGATAAGGTTTGTGCATAGTTTAGGAACATGCAAGACATTCTTCAGGAAAAGACTATTACTCAATCTAACATCCCCTTAACCAACCATAGTAGCTATAGAACCGTCACCCCACACGATTTTCCTAGTACTAGGGCGTGGACTATAAGATACGAAAGTCTTGGAGAAATTTGTCAAATGGTTTGAGGCTCTAGAATCCACAATCCAAGAGTGAAAAAAATCTTATTTTGAGGTATTAAATGCAAATAAAAATAAGACAAATGAAGGCTGAAAGGAGATACCTGAGAACCCCAAGAATAGATAGCTATACCAGAACCAGAAGTAGTCACCTTGTCAAGTGACTCTAGCATAGATCTTAGTTTTTCAATCTCTCCCTTAAGGTCAATCTGATTAGAATTCTCTCTAGTAGAATCAGTGGCCACATGAGCTTGCCCTTTTTTCATATTTGGAGGCTTACCATGCAGCTTCCAACACTTCTCCTTAGTGTGCCACAGCTTCTTGCAATGAGAGCATCGAATAGGTTCTTTCTTCGAAAAGTCTCCTCGTTTCTCATTTTCCACAGAATAAGGAGCAACATTCCTTGACACCAAGGTAGAGCTTTCCACTGATGGAGTTTCCATCATCACTCCTCAATGGCCTTCTTCTGCTAATACAATGGCAATGGTCTCATTGAGAGAGAGAACATCTTCTCGACCAAGAATTTGAACTCTTACAGGAACAAATTCTGAATTAAGCCCAATAACATGCTCAAAAATTCTCTGCTTTTCAATAAAGCGTTTAAAGGTAGCTGCATCATGATCTTTCAAAGTAATACACTGATAGTGGTCTAATTCTTGCCACAAACTCTTCATAAGGATATAGTATTTAGTGACAAATTTACTGCCCTGTTTGGTATTGAAAATCTTGATCTGTATCTCATAAATTTGGGTAGCATCCTTTACCTTTGAGTAAATCCGATACACCGTATCCCAAATCTCCTTAGCCAAGGATAGAAACAAACATGTGTGACTAACTTTAAGGGCTATAGATTGCCACAGCCAAGATATTATCATTGAGTCAACTTCATCCCAAGCATTGAACTTGGGTTCTCCTGGCATAGGACCAGCCTCAAGTAAATGACTAAGCTTCCCTGGACCCTTTAAAAAGGTACGAACATACTGAGACCAAGCTAGAAAGTTGGCTCCAATCAATCGATGAGCAACTGAAACACTTGGCAGCTCCCCAGAAACCCCAAACAAGGAAGACCCAGTACTGTCATATGTGTTTTTTTTGTCAAACATGACTAAAACAAGGAGAGAAGGAGATTCCAAGCAAAATGGAGGTGACTGGAGGCCAAACGGAGGCCTAGACTCGCTCTCACACACCAAAAACGCAGCACTGGCCAGATTTAGTCGGCCAGCACGTGGCAGCAGACATTGGTCGAACTTCTAGGTTCGGCCAGTTGGCGGCAAGCGAAGGCGGTAGTCCAGCGCGTGTAGGCTATATAGTCTCCGACAATAGTGAGCCTGCCTGTTCATAACCCTAACGCACGAAGACAATTGAAACCGTAACACAAAAAATGAACCCAGTAAAGAACTCTAAGCCTCAGATAGGCTCTGATACCATAACAAATTTGGTTAAAAACTACTCTTTTATTATTTTCACTACTATCATTTACATAATGCTATTTATAAGAGTACATCACTATAGAATAATAAATGCTATCTTAACCCCCAACCACCAACCACCAACTAATCTATTTACTAAAGAAATAAAATAAATTTACGCTATATAACTAGACATTTTAACAGAATTTTTTAACACATTATACAGCAACTATACAAGAGTGTTGGCTCAAGTATATGCAAACAAAAAGATGAGATCTCTTATCTAATTTAAGTGTTGAACTGTCACACTCCCTCTGTGTCATGATACCATTTAGACATGACTAAAAATTTAAGAACAAAGGAAAAGTCGTTTATTTTTGTTGTAACCTCTTGGCAAATAGAGCTTTTAGGCACTGAATTTTTTTACTTTCACATTCACTTAATCATTATTAATTAATAGCAAATAACATGTTGTGTAGGTACATACAGCGTTATAAGGTTCATATTATGTAAAAAACAATAATTTAATAATAAAATAAACAGTATATCAAAAATTTAACTCACATCAGACATCACTAATGCAAAACTCATACCAATTATATAATAATGCAAAATCTAACTAAATTAACAAAAAATGCAACATCAGACTTTTGAATCATAAACATGTCTGTCTCTGCCAGACACAATAGGAAAGAAATATTGGGTACGAGAGTATAAAATATGAAATTTGCGTGCATTGAAAATTTAGAGTGATTTGGATATTGAATTAATCAGTAGTAATTAGGCGTTACAACAGTATTTTAAATTAATTGGGAATTAATAGTAATTTAGGATTTCTCTTCTATCATTTGGGGTTTGCCAGTTCAAGTTCTAAGGATTGCTACAAATTTGGATTTGTCAGACATGAATTCAGAACTGAGAATGTGTGTAAGAATTGTGTTTTCCCACTTCTGTCCTTCCCCACTTTCTGTCATCCCATAATCTCTCTCTTTCTTTCATTGCTCTATTTGTCCAGCATCAATTTTCCCATTGCGCAGGGGCCTACAGAGTAGGAGAAAGCATCGAATCCATTCCTATCAAATTTAATTCTTGAATGAAGAGAAATGAAGAAAAAATACGTGGTCCAAAAGAAAAGCGCAACAGTGTGCTTAAAATAAGGGTACATGATGCAGTTCACAGGGGTCTTGCCATTTTTAACTTTTCTTCTTTTCTTTTGTTTTTTTTTTTTTTCGGTGGTGGGGATCATGTATTTGAATTCACCTCCCATGCCCATGTAACCAGAAATATATTGGCAATGAATGATCCTGCCTTTAAAATGACGGTAAGCTGTCAGGACTCACCCAACATCCAAATGTTATAGAAATTCAAAGCAGGTAGCTATTGATTCTCTCCCCTAAACAACTAGATCTTTGGGGCAATCTCCCCAAGGTTTGATTCAGCAGCCAAGAAAATGTATCAAGCATTCACAGTATTCAACCATGATTTCATCCAACTTCAGCAGAATTTTTACAATTGATGAAACAACTTTTGCAACTTGATTAAAATGACCAAATCCCAAGTCCACTAAGTGATGGTTTAACTATATCTCTTCAATCAGACCCTTGAGAGATAGTTAATAACGGAAAATAAATTATCAGAGTGTCACTTTTGAGATCAGTTTCTGAATGTACCATCTGATTGCGTTGCAGCCATTTGCTTCGTAAAAAGAGTATCCACAGTCAACTTAGAAATGAAGACAACAAACACAACATGTAAACCAACAAGAACAACTTAGCTTACAAGATTAGCATTACATCTTCAAGTTCTTAGAACTTGAAAGGAAAAGGCGAAGGGGCACGGTGTTTCGTCAATTCCATGTAAGTGGCAGTAATTACGAAGGGATAAGACTCACTTACATCACTAACACAACATGCTAGAAGTTGAAATCTGAAAAATCAAGTCAATGAAATAAACTTGAATTGGAGTTGAGGCAGACTATACTTTTACACACCAAAATCAAAGCCGAAAAACGCTATAACTCAGAGGTAGTAACGAAAAAAATCCCTAACCACGATTCAATATAACTAAGCACAGATACCAAAAGAGAACGGAACCTGATTATCTTATCGAGATAATCCGAAAGAATGGTTTGCCAATACGGCCCCATAGCAGCAGTGGTTTCGACTACGACAATCAGCTGTTTCTCCAACATGATTGATCCAGAGTTCTTCGAGACACGCGGTAAAGTGAAGCAGGTCTGAACCAAACGATCACTCTCATTCGCCTCAGCCTATTCTCTCTGGAAATACAAAGAAACAGTGAGTATTTATACGATGCTTTGTGGCAGATTTATTGTGCGGAAGGCGTAGCAGAAATGGAAAGAGGTGAATTGCATTAAAGTTGTGCTCTTTGAATTAGCATTCAAGAGGGAGAATCCGCAGCCGGCAATGGCAAGAGAGCGACCCAGCGCTCGCTCTGTGAACGGAAGGTTGGTGGTTATAACGAATTTAACAACTCATCGGAGAAGTCACAAGGCTTGCTTCTTGTTCTCATCACGCGCGGAGAGAAGTATAACGACTTGCCTGGTGCGCCGCGTTCGTGAACAATGGGTAAAATCAGAAGGAACTTGGATATGAATTTTGTTTTCCTTCCTTCCTGGTTTAAGGAAGAATCTAAACTTCAAAAAAAAAAAAAAAAGAAAGATGAAGCAAAATTTATCTTTAATTAAATAAATTACTTCAGTGCTGCGTGTTTGATTACACATATAAAATTTAATTTAATAGACATAAAAAACTTGTAATAGTAAATTGGTGTTCTTTACGTTGTACAACTAGCAATACAGGCATAATTTGCACATGTATATTCAATATAACATGATATTTATAGATATTTTTAACTTTAATATATATATATATAAAATAAAAATATTTAATATAAAACATTGGATTTAAATCCTTTAAATTGAAAAATCCTATATAATTCTTTAAATCAATGACAATTAGCGTAATTATATTTTCTCAACTTTTTCTTTAAAATTACTTCATTTGATTTTATTCAACTAGATTTTATAACTCATGTCACACGAGAATCTTAACACATTATTTAATTTAAAAATAAATCATAATAATGAGAGAAAAAGAGAGAGAAGATTTTAATGAGCTTATTTTTTCATAAGTGATGTTATAAAAATTTAATAAATAGAAAATATAAAGAGAAAGACTAAGAATAATAAATTAAAAACAATTTATGGCCACTTATTTTATTTTATTTTTGAAAAAATATCACTTATTTTTTAAAAAAATATTTTGTGAGTTTTTATAATATTTGATTAAATTCTTAAAATAATTAGGATCCAAAAAAATACATTTCTAATTTTTTTAAAAAGCTACTTTAATGTTAGTTTAAAGATAATAATTAATTTATTGAAGATATAATTTAATTAAAAATATTTTTTAAATCAGAGTAATATAATTTATTTTAGTTAAGAACGTGTCCAAATCTACCTCTTTCACCATGACCTCACATTAACTATTTATTTTTATTATAGGTTTTATATTATATTTTTAATCATAGCCCCACATTCTTTCATCTTTTTTTAATCATATAAAAATAAAAATATAGAAAAAAAAAAGCTAACCATGAAAAAAAAACTTGATGGAAGTTTACTATTCAAGTGAATAGCAAACCTCATCATACTTTACAATATATAAAGATTCAATATATATTTGTGTTCATTGTATTTTAAATTGATAAAGTTTAATTAACAATCATTGTAGAATATAAAATTCTCATATTAAATTTGATTCTCTTCCATATTTATTGTGTTGATATGTTTCTAAAATAGCATAGACTTATAAGAAAAAGTTGTTCATTTCATTTTTAACTTTTAATTCAAATTATAATTATAATTATAACTCATTCTTTTAAATTCAATTTGTTACAACTTATGTTACTAATGGTGCTTACATGATGTCTTTATCAACATCATGAAAGATACACATGGCAATACATTAAAAGAAATATAATCACAAAAAAACAAAAAAGAAATTTAAAATTAAAAAGGTGGCAAGGACGAGTTTGGAGTGGAGCAATTTAAATACTTCCTTCATCACTTTCAAAATTTTCATATTAATTTCATTTTCTACGCTTGCCATTTTTTTCCACTTCTTCAATATTATCCTTGTGAGCAAAATCTTCTAAACTTGATTCCTGCATTAAAAGTATAATTGGCATCATGAACCCATATTGAAACCATCAATCTTTCATGATGTCTTTGATGAAATATCTCTTTTCTATGTCAGCCACTAGTAATTTGGAGATCAAATTCTTTTGGTTATCGTGAAATCCATCTAGGATCGTGCATTGACTTGTCAATGTTTTCTTATAAATTTTTATCACATTCTTACATCAAAGATACCCAAAAAAAAACAAAGCAAAGTAGTTACCCTAACAATCTATTTCTATTTCAAGGAAGGATCCAGAGTAACTTGGAAATCAAATTATTTACTTTCCAATCCTGCCTTCAATTTTACTATCTCTTCATCCCACGCTCAAACTTGTCTCGGCCCTTTCTTCAAATTTCATATTTATTTTTTGCCTTTCATGATTTTATTTTGGGTTAGTGAGTAAATAGGATCCTGAACTTTTACTCGAAAATCGTCCTAGACCCTGAACTCTTAAAATATGTAAAATAAATTCTAAACGTTTAAATTCATGATAATATAAACTCTGACCGTTAACTTTTTAACACCGTTACTGTTCACGCAAGTACTGTTCAGGGTTTATTTTTCTATGAATTTAACCTTAATTGTTACAGTACTCACATAGACAGTAACGGTGTTAAAAAGTTAATAGTCAAGGTTTATTTTGCTATGATTTTTAAAGTTTAGAGTTTATTTTACATATTTTAAGAATTCAAGGTCCAGGGCAATTTTTGGACAATAGTTCAGGATCCTATTTGACCATTAACCCTTTTATTTTTTAAATATATTATTGCCATGTAAATCTTATAGGGTGGTAATGAGCACGCCATGTAAGCACCTTTTGTGACACATATAAATGAGGTCCAATTTGATTATTTTATTTTTTAAATGTATTATTGCCATGCAAATCTTACAGGGTGCTAATGAGCATGCCATGTGAGCACCTTTTGTGACACATATAAATGAGGTCCAATTTGATATACTAATGATAAGGATGAAATTTTTAAACAAACCAAAGCTTCAAGGATTAGATCGTGATAAGTTAAATTTGCAAGATTAAGTCACAACCAAGCTAAAAATTAAAGGATCAAATGAATAATTTTTGCATAATATAGAAACACATAAATATTTACACAATTGTACATGGATTTTCATATTTATCTTAACTCATTATCATAATTTATATTTATATTAAATTATTAAATTCAAAGAATACTAACTTGAAAATGTTCATTTTATAAATGTCGAAAAATGTTCATTTTATTTTGGAATAACATACTATTTGTCCTTACAGTTTTTCTTAATTTTAAATTAAGTCCTTAAAGTTTTTTTTTTGTTTTAATTGAGCCATGATAATTTGATCAATTAATTGTTAAATAGTAATTTAGACTCTAAACTAGAGGCCTAAAGGTAATTTAAACTTTAAACTCATATGTGATATATTTTGAATCTTAAATAATTAAACTTGGAGCAATCTCACCTTTGCCGTTAAATTGGACTAAACATTTGTTGTATGGGGCCTGTATATTCTAACATTTCCCTCCTCTCTCTCTCACCCCTTCTTGCTCCCCCTCTTTTTATTTCTCTCTTCTCCAATTAGCTAGTTAGTGATAGTCGAGCCCTCTCCATCCCCTTCCCCCTTTCTCTACATCTTTCTTCTCCAATTGATGATAGATGCATCACATTCAAGCCCTCTCCCCCCTCTTTCTCAAAGTCTCTTTTCTCCAACTGATGACGGATGCATTGTAGTTAAGGGATGAATTCAACCTCAACAAATTCTTATCAAAAGTGTCTGGAGTTTGTCAAGGAAGAGCTCAAGGTTTGCCTAATCTAGTACTCGCTTGTTCCTTTCAAGCATCAATGCCATTCTCTCACATCACATCAAACTATTAGAAGAACCTCTGTCAGCAACCCTAACTCCATCTCCCTTCGACAAACAAGTGCTCAACTTTGCCAACAATGCAATTAATATCGTGGTGTTGCAACAAGGCGCTTAGCTGGTGGCTTTATGCCAAAATGAGATAGTTTTTGTCAAAACTCACTCTTGCATTCTAAGTATAAATAGACCTATAACACATGCAATAGCCCCTTGAAGTGTGTGTTCACACACTTATAATCTCTCTCTCCCTCTCTCTCTCTCATTTATCTTAAACTTTCACCACGTTTTGGTTCTGTATTCCAAGTAGAGCTTGAAGATGTATTAGATTCTAAAGGCAAGCCTGTTACCCTATAATCTTCAATTTCATGCCTTCGTTACACCTCCTTGCTCCAAACGGGATCTATGGTCGTCCCAGAGGCATGCTTCAGTTGTATGTTGCATTACTAGCATTTATGAATAGTAGCAAGAGAAGAGAGATGTTGAGAAAGAAGGGGGATGTCATGATATATGAGCCTTACACAACAAACTTTTAGTCTAATTTAATGATAAGGGAAGATTGTTGTAAGTTTAATTGTGTTGGGGTTAAAAATATATCACATACAAGTTTAGGGTTCAAATCACACGCCCCTACACCTATAATTTAAGGTCTAAATTGTCATTTAACTTACATTTTTTTAATTCCTGAAGATTAAAACCTTATATTTTTCATTGAAAATAATAAAATTAATTTTTTTTATTTTTATTAAATGATTATATAACTTTATGATTAATTGCATAGTTTTTATAACTCAAAATTTATAAAATAAGGTTCTCTTCTAAATTGTTTTTATACATATAGAATTTTTATAAAAAAATTTAAAAAATGTAAACAATGTATTAAATTGGATTTTATTTTTTTTTCAATTTTGGCTAACAGTATTAAATTAAATTTTTTGCAAACTTCAAATTATTTTTTTTGTAAAATTTAATATTTTATTATTAATTTTAAACTTCAAGAGCTAACATATATAATAGATAAAACTCTATC